CTCCAGTAACGGTGATTCCTGTCGCTGAAACGGTTTTCAGAATACCCGGCCACTCATTTCCATGTCACTGACTAAGAATAGCATCTATTGTGTTATGCCTCATTCTTCAAAGCCTCCCGACACATGTAAATGATGTGGACGGGTATTCTGAAGTTGCTCCTTGCCGAGACAAGGGCAAGATTCCTAGGATTCAGTGGAATTCTGGGAGCTGAGCGTTACATTGATTTCCTGTTAGGGTTGGGTTGGGAGTCTGGTACAGAGGTGTGACATCATTTTTAGAATGTCAAGCTCGTGTTTTCTATTTTCTATTTTGGCACGATTTAAATTTAACCAGGTCAAGCACTCATCAAAAACATTCCACCCAACGCGTCAAGAGTCTTACAACAAGATTCGCCTTCTCAAAGATCTTTTTCGATATAAATAACATCCTTCTCTGCTTAATGGTCCGACGTAGCTGTCTGTAGCAATTTGAATATTTGTCCCGCATAATTACACGGATATTTCACTTTGATTGCAAGGTTTACCTAAAAATACGATGGTAATTAGAGAGTAAAAAATTGAAGTCCCTCTCAAAGCAGCTCCAGTTCAAAAAGAGAACCTCAAACATACAAAATAAAGAAGAAATTACAAACCTAATATGTCTAATTCTAACGACACATTGCAGCCGCTCAGTGATTAGAAGCGCTAGGTCGCTTGACAGTCCTTATTTAGTGAAGCGAGCTAATGTAAATGTAAGTGGTTAAATATTTTTGGTTCGTTCATTTGTTCTCAACAATTGTTAAATTTCAGGTGGTAACTCCCTGTTAGGCAACCATGTCATATTCAAAAGTTATTGGCCGACAAATGATTTTGAAGACACCAGCGTTTAAAGGTCATTTAAAATGTTCAGAAAAATCAGGAGAAAGCTACTTTGACACTTCTTAGCAAACTCTCTAATCGGTCAATAAAAACATTTTCCAAATTTTTCCATTTAGCGGATCACTAACAGCAGCCGTATTTTCAAGAAAATAACCGCAATCTGGTTTAAGAAGTTCCCTTATTTACGCTTTGAATGAGGAAAGAAACTTCTAGCCAACTCTGAAACATCAACAAAGGGCTTTCAACTTGTTACCCTGGCTCCAGACGTTTCTCTTTTTCTCTCCTTTTTCTCCCTGACTCTGCCACGCAGCTCTGCCAATCTCGCTGCTTCGCAGCCCGAAAGGATTGTAGACAGGGAGAAAAAGAGAAACCTCTGGAGCCAGGGTATCAACTTGTAAGAAATGTTAGAAATGTTTCCACATGCATGGCATCGATTTCGTTTGAGGGTTTTCTCCAGTGAGGGTTCCACGTTTATATCCGCTGAGGAAATGAAGCTCTGGTAACATTGCCTCCGAGGTTCTGGACGCTTTTTATCGGCGCTATACTAACACTTTTTGATATTTTAGATACTTTCCAAAATCTGTTCTTAAAGCTAGTGTGATCTGTGTATAATCTGAAATTTTGCAATCATGATGCTAATGTTGGAATAACTTTGTCAGCGGTGTTTCATGATTCTTAGGAGGACATAGAACAGAAAGACTATTAGATAGCTAAAAATAACTATAATTAACAATTATTCGCCTCAGGTTCGGTGAATATCGTCGAATAATCCTCGAGACTTCGTCTCCGGAATTATTCGACAATATTCACCAAAACCTGAGGCGAATAATTGTTTTAGTATAATTTCAGAGCTGAACAACAGAGAAAGAATACAGGATCGGACAAATACTACGTTAAATAAGAAAATTTAATAATAAGTTCTTATATAGCTCATTAAAATTGAACTCTATGCGCTTAAATCACGGAATGGTTCGATTCTCAGCCAATAATCGAGCACAAACGATGAAAGGATTGCGTAATTCGCGTTAAATGTTTTTAAATGTTATATCGCTTCACTCAAGTGTCACGCTCCGCGATTGCATCACTCTTTATGCAAACGCACATCGAAATAATATGGGTTATTAACCAAGCGTGATGAGGTCAAGATGGCTGGATATTGGCCTTCTTTTTTTGCAATTTTATGGATCGAGACAAAGTCGAGGTCCATAAAAATTCGAAAAAAGAACGAGCCTGTGATTCGATGCCATCGTTTATATACTTTACAAATTTTTATATACTATACAAATTTTTATGTACTATACAAATTTTTATATACTATACAAATTTGGACAAGAGGCGTGGCGGTGAATTTAAGTGCTTTGTTCAGTTATTGCGCAGTGACGCTTTGTTTCTGTGGCGACATGAGGACACAAGTTCATTATGTTTATTAAGTGATGATAATTCAGGTCGGCAGATGATGAGTAGTTTTTCTTTCAGGCAGAGGTTGCAGTTTTTAGTTGCGCTTTTGTAAAGTGATTTTGATGAAAGGATGCACCAATTGAGCTAACAAGCCAACTGGGAGCAGGCACTAGTATCGCAGAGGTCAGTGGTTCGAATCCCGTTCGCTCTTGCATAAATAGCGCTCTCTACTGCGAGGATCGTGCATCATACGTAGCTATAACCGCAGTTCAAAATATATGAACTTCATATATTCATCGTATCTGATGAGATAAATATATATATATATATATATACATATATATGCGTTATTAACCAAGCTTGTTTGGTCAAGATGACCGGATGTTGGCCGAGTTCTTTTTCAATTTCCACGTCTTAAACATGGGTTAGACGATGACTTTTTCATAAACGATGTTTAAATTTCGTCTGAATGATGGGCCTTAGTGATTTCCTTCAAAACTCGAAAATTTTGCGCAAAGAGCAGTCTACTGCTTATGTTTAGTGAAAATAGTGTTGTTTTCGAGGATATTGAAATTAGTTTGGGGCCCTTCATTTCCGCAAGGAAAAAGCAGGCTGAACTTTGTGAAAATCGCAACACCGTCATGTACGTTTTCGATGCGAAAGCTATCACAGCGAATACTAAAAATTTCTTTCATCAATATTACCCGTTTAAAACGGCTTAATAGCTTACCCGGCTGAAAACTCTGGGCGTTGTGAAATGTAGATAACCATAAGCCTTCCGAAAATGTCACCTTCCGAGAATTGAAGCGAAATTGAGAGATGTTCTGTGGACCTTGAACATTTCGAGTCTGCAGCTTGACAGGAGTTAAGTGGAAGCGACGTCTAAAATAAATGTTTAATTTAGGAACGGAATTATCGTCTGTAAACTGACCTTCTGCATCAGTCGCGCTTGAGTAGTAGGCGTAGAATGGTAGCCGCTCTTTTCGAAAATTTGAATTCAGCTGAGACTAGAGTATCATTATCTAACAGAGACTCTCTGGCTAGTTGCACCAAATTTTAACCAGTTAATACTGACAAAAGCATTAGAAAGTGTGGCGATGCTTAAACAACAGTCCAAAAAACAACACGTTTAAATTGCTTTGTCTGAAGACAAATAGAAGAACTCGCGAAATATGCCACGTCTTATTCTGATCGCTTTAGACTTAATACTTTTCCATCAAAGCTCGTGACTCTAGCGCAAAGAACAGTCTATTGTGACGGAAGTCATAAGATAGTCTTGATTATTACTCAACCAATTTCGAATGCTATGACCCAGTCCCCCTTTAATTTGACCCTTCAGTACTCCCTGCTTAACCTCATTAATTATCTCAGTATCTTAGTAAAGAATTGACATTATACCAAACGGAAGAGACTGCTAAACTTGTTATTTAGGGGTAAGTAATTTATTTATTTATTGATAGCAATGATGTTGTTACTGCACAGACACATTTTCTTAGCTTAGAACCATGGTGTTTCTGCATTTATTCTCATGCAGATAAAACTCATTTCTAAAGCTACTAATTGTATCGTTTTAATGGAGGGCAGTCTCCATTCAGCTAAATCCGATTCTCTCAAAGAGCCTAGCGATCAAAACTTTTGAAAATCCCCTGTAAAGCCACTCTCTTTTAATTTACTATACAAATAGCTTTACTTACAAATTTTGGGTCTTTTCATTGGTAACTTGGGGCGCTCAATATATACTAGATACTTAGGGGATAATCCCTGTTTTCTGCTTTCCTGAAGTAAATAAACTTCGCGAAATCATTTTACATTGCTTGTCGATACATTTATTACTTAAATGGACTTGAAGAAAAGTTAAAACCTCCAGTGCCGTATGTTGGAAAAGACGTCGTCGGAGCAGTATGATTGTGTGTGTGTTGAAGATCCTGAATGACGGAAATGAAGTCCGGCTGCGGACTGAAGCTGGTACCAAATTACCCCATAGGAAAGGCTCCTGTCTGCTTTGATCTACTTGAGGTTGATGACATTGATAAGGAATCTAACTGACGTATCATTTTTTCACAAACTGTGCATGTCAAGAGCGGCCATTCTGCTCTCTTTTCACTATTATAATGTACGGGGCAACGAGTTATTTTCTTACAATGCTTTGACGATTCTAAGCACAACGTCACACAAAACTCCGCTAATTCGTTAACCTTAGGATGAACTTTTTTGACGAGCTCCTCTAATTTTTCAATTCTTTTAACTAAAACGTTTTCTCTAACATTCTGTTCTAAATTTTTAAAATCTTCTTTCTCCATGATTTTTTGGAGTGCCATGTTTTTTACATAGTCGTAGCATGTTATACGAGTGATATTCAACCTGTCGTCCTGCCTTGCCATGTCGGTAGTGTTTGCCAAGAAAAGTATCCTGATCGCTTCCTCTTCAGATCTCGCCATTATATTTTTGAGGAGATTCGCACAAACATCGAACACTGACTTTGTCTGGTACTCGTCAGCTAACTTCAAGAGATGTTCAACTTTGTCCACTGCAGTTAAAGTAATATCATGTAGAAATGACAGCACGTAAATTAAAATCAGCATAGTGGTAGAGGGAAAAATTAGAAATTGCATTCTTGAATTAAACATAGAGTGGTCTTTTAGCTGGGACATTTCAAAAATAGCTGGTGACCGAAAATAGTCTAAGAGGGGCTTTTTAAACTCTTATTTGAGAGTGGGCCCTACTGATGGTTAGACTGAAAAACTAATTAGTAAATAATTATTTCATAGCTTTCAAAACAGATGTTAAATTCAAGCATGAACGTAATGTATTCATGAAGCAACGTCTAAACAAGAGTTAAATCGATGAGGAGAAAAATGAATAACACTTACCAGGTTTTCAGTTATACTATATTAGGGAGCCCATTCACACAAATTAAAGAGCAGATTGCGAAAATTCCCCTGAACTGATGGCTTCTACACTGACAGCGTTTTCGCAGAATTTCTTTTTGTGGGCTCTGAAGTCCTAAATGCAATAACTGTCCTAAATGTAATGACACTTGGTCCTAAATGCAATAACTGTCCTAAATGTAATGACACATGGTCTTAAATTTAACAAAGTCATGAATGTAATAACATTTGGTCCTAAACCTAATAAAGTCTAAAGGTTTGTAGCCAATGCTTCTCGACCTTCGTCTCCAATGAATAAAAAGACTCATATTAATATCAGCAAGCCCGCAATATGCCATGGATATTAGTCCGAGGGTTCTCTGGTGCAACAGCTGTCAATTTAACATCTAAAGTGTATGTCTGCCATAACAACAATACGCTAGAGGTCCTAGCGAAGTTACACGATTGCAATGGAGGCTTATTACATTTAGACCAACTGCTAATACACTTAGGACTTTATTACATTTAGTACAGTTATTACATTTAGGACTTCAACAGTCGTTACCCTTACATGTGACTCCATCACTCTCTTTCAAGTACATTTGTTTCAGGAAATCCAAAACTTCATTAGCCTTTTTTCCTGGTAAGGGGATCTCCTTGGCTATTGCCTCCTTAAACTTTGTTCCTAGCATGACCTTAAAAACCGGGGAATGGATGCTCAGTATCTGTCGATGGACGTGAAATTTTTCATCTTCCACCAAAAGCACTAAATCACTATCCTCCCAAGGCTCTGCAAAGGGGTGTGTCTCCTCTTTTGTGCTCTCTTTTGAATCTTGCTCGCAGCCTGGCGAAACAAAACTTGTTGTTCAATGACATCTTTTATTGACTTTGACCTGACCCCTTGCGTTTTTCTTTTTCTCATTTTTCCATTTTGCTTATTATAAAATTCCAATAGATTTGGATCATTACATAATATAATTGTTGCATTAGTTAGCAACATCTCTCTCATTTAATTAAGTTAGTTAGAGTCTGTGTTATTTGGTCAGAAATTGTTACAATTTATTCCATTGTTGAGCGTGTGGACGAAGAAAATAATTGGTTTTGTGCAATGTAACAGCTTCCTCGGACTTGAGATTCTTAGAACAGAAAGGAAAGTGAATTGCCTCACTAACAAGTCAAGCTGTGAAAATCTGTACGGTTCCGTAAATGAGTGTCTGATATCTCGTATTTCACACGCATGAGGAAGCAGCATAAACTCGATCTTTGTATGGTCGGGACTATATTTAGAAGCAAAAAAAACTTTGTGAGAGTAAATTTGGGGTTGACTTGTCTTATTTTCTAATTCTCGGCCTTCTTACGAGCGTGAAAGAAGTGTAAGCAAGTTTTAACAACGCAAGGCTTGAATTTCACTGGCAGACCTCCATTTATATTTCTAATGAATATTCTTAACGACGAACAAACGCAAAAGTAGATAGAAGAACATTATTTCTATTAAAGACAAAGGAGAAAGGACAAATGGAAAAACAACTAGCTTATAGTCTGGAAGTCTTGCGATTCCAGACTTTAAGCCAGTTGCTAGAAAGTATGAACAGGAAGCCCCGATTTAAATGATCGAGGAATTTTACACAACAGTTCGTAGGAAAGACTTGGAAGATTACGAGGGCGATAGTTAACGTGAAATGGAAAGAGTACAAAAGCTCGATGGCAACAAGGCAAAGGCAAGCGGCGGCCGAACTAATGAGCCATGACACGAAATGCAAACAACTGAAGAGGAAATGAGAGTCATATTTCTTAATTTCTCTCGTAAAATTTGAGATAAATCAGCACTTCTGAATCGCACTAAAAGACTATAATCGCACTTACCTTACGGGATCGGGGAATTTAATTAGGCTTAATGAATTTGCTCTAGCTGATTTATCCCAAATTGCACTCGAAATCATGAGACTACCTATACAAACAAACTGGTGATCTACATAGTGAGTTTTAAATACACCTAGCTAGAGGTCTTGAGCAGCGTCTGGATTCAGTTAACCTGAATTCAGTTAGCCAGGCCTAATCGGAATGGAGTGTTCTTCTAATGAAAAATATGTAAAGTTTACTTAACGGCTGTGAAATAAATTGATAAAATTAAAGGCACAAAGATTTGTGTTCCAAGTGCAATTTTTAAACGTTCCGTAAGGATGGTTCAAGAACCGGAAGCACTTCAGATGATACTTACTCTAATTTCAATCTTTAAGCTATCAGAGTTCGCATCAATCATCTATTCCCTAGAAAAAAACTTATATGTGTGAGTTGGTTGGTGTCGAAAAATTTGAGAAACTGGAGTTTGTACCTTCAGTCGCAAATTTAGTATTGAGGCCATTTCGCTTGTGAATGTTGATTCGTTCTCCTTCCACGAAATTTTTAATTTAACACCAGAGAAGAATATCAAAGTATTGTTTCTAGGCTCAATCGGCTAGAAATTTTCTGTTTACCAGCTCCCAGGTAGATTCCATCGAGTAAGTTTAACAATTTTAAAATGACCATGGTCTAGCCTTCAAATTTTGGCTCACATGTGAATAAATAAGCAAATTTTCTGACGAGCAAGTTCAATCGATCTTCAGGTTCACTAATATCTCCAGTCGCATGACTGTGCCTTGCTATTTTAATGCATTTTAGGTTCCCTTGAACCAAAAGATAAAGATGCCTATCTCTTAGCGTCAAGGTTAGGCTTAGGCTGACTACTCGCAACGCAGGCAAACAGCTAGGGTCATTTCATTCTATAATATCTCAACTGAAAACTTCCAATCACCCAACTAGGCCAACCAAAGTCAAATGGTGTTCCCCTCAATCAATTTCTTTAGATCTCAACAATCTCTCTCTCGGTGGAATGCTTATGTTGCTAATCCCTTGAAGCAAGTTTCGTATGCATATTTTCTGCGTTAGTTTGTTTTGAATTCGATGTATACCGCAAAAGATCATTTGATTTGCGCATGAGGTGGTCAAAATGATCGATTAAAGGTGACCTCGAACGTAATTTAACCATGTTTGAACGTATTAAGCGATGAAAGAACAGTTATGCCGAAAAACGTGCCTTTTTCCATCGAATTAAGACATACGAAAACAATAGTATCTCGGTATGTTTTAACAAGGCTTGAGCAGAGTCATAAAATGATTATCCAAGCTAGTCATAACATGATTTAATGTACGGCTGGAATTGGAAAAAAATTAGTACCTGAATTACTTGTGATTGCTGTCGCTGGGATGGTGTTCGAGGCCATGAAGCTTGAGGTCGTGATATCACGAAGAAGGCGCACCAAACTAAACTACACTGATTAAAAAGTGAAGTAATGGCGGCCAGACTACGTCTAGGATCCAGTGGAATTCTGGGAGCCGAGCGTTACATTTACTTCCTCTGAGGGTTGGGAGTCTGGTATGGAGTTGTGGCGTCATTTCTAAGATGACAAGTTTGTTTTTTCTCACTCCTACTTTAGCACGATATATTTATATTTAATCAAGTCAAGCACTCACCCAAAACATCCCACCCCACCCCTCAAGAGTCTAATGATCCCCCCCTCAAAGGATCTTTTTCGACAGAAATAGGATCCTTCTCGGCTGAATTATTCTATGTAGTTATCTGAAACAATTTGAATATTTGTCCCGCTTAATTACACTAATAATATTTCGCTTTGATCGCAAGGTAAACCTTTAAAATACGATGATATTTAGTAGGTCAAAACTTGAAATCCCTTGCGAAACAGTACCAGTTTAAAAAGAGTGCTTCAAACTTACAAATTTGATAAGAAATTACAGAGCTACGATGTCTGATTCTAGCAACATATTCCAACCGCTTGGTGATTAGAAAGTCCTAGGTCGCTTGACTCCTTCACCCGGTTCTGGACGCTTTTCATCGACGCTACCCAGTCGAACAAATTAACACTTTTTGATACTTTACATAATTTCCAAAGTCTGCTCTTAGAGCCAGTGTAATCAGTGTCATGAAAGCTGAAATTTTACAACCAGCAAGCAGGCACTTGAATGTGTTTAAGTTATATTATGTTACATCAGAAAAAAGGTGTTTTCAGAGAAGATGTATTTGTGTGTATAAGTGTTTAAATGGACTTGTTGGGCATGATATGAACTTCATAAGACAGCATGAATAACATGATTATAATACCAGAACTAAGCTAAATCTCAGACTTCCAAGTGTCAAGAGGGATTGGGGTAAACAACGGACAGCATTTCATGCCTTCAAGAATTTTAACTCTCTTAGCCAAGCCATCAGGCAATCCGTTAATCTTGATATTTTTTAACGTAATCTTTTAAATCTGTGACTTATATGAATTTTATATCATGTTATTTTTAAATCTGTGATCCAAATGAATTTAAGTAAATGTGTTGTTTCCTTTTCATATTTTAGTTTTAATGCGCGAAATGTTTTTTGTATTTTGTATATATATCACCGTTTACTTCTCGTAGACAACTCTCAGTCTGATGATCGCCTAGAGCGTGAAACTCGAGTAACTAGTAATAATTTCCTTCTTTCACATTTGTATATATATATATATATAATATATAACTAACTGCAGACAGTACTGTTTCGGCCTTCTGGGCCTCATCAGTGCAGTGCTAATGCTAGGATGG